GCAATGAGGGGTCGATTCCTAATAACAAATATCAATACATAATTACAATTCAATTAATGAGTTGTTTATAAACAAGTCTATTAGGAGTGCATTGCAGTCGAGCCCACACTCGCTATCCGGTTATCGTTCACACAAGAGTCACACATTTTTTCTAATTTTACACAAATATAATGCCTATAATTGGGGCTAAAATCAGTGCCAAACCATAGCATCAATATATAGGGGGCAGAGAATACGTGAATAACAATAACGTGATATATGAGTGGTATTGGGTTTGGCAGTGAAAACAGTTGTGCCAATAATGGCGTTGTAATCTCCACAACACTTTCGTTAGCTATGTGATTAGCTCACTTACTAACAAGTGATATATCTCACTGTGCGGAATGTGTGGTTGGTTAGTTAACTACGTTAAACATTAATAATAATTGGTAATGATTTACTATTATTGTTAGTTAATTTGTAACAACTATTTTGACGTTAAAACATATATGAAATCACTTTTGAATACTATTTTATTTAATACTCATTTGGAAAAAGTTTGTTTGCATTCAAATTAAAGGTAACAAATGTTTTGGTAATTATTAATAGTTTTACTTTTAATTGTGTTATCAAAACATGTATTCATTTGTCAATCAATTGATTGTCTGTTTTGCTTGTAATTCAATACTCAGTAATGAATTGAATGACACAATTGTCATACGATTTGCCAAATATTAGGCAGTTAACTTTCAAAACTTTTCAAAAGTAAGTTAACATTTAACTAAAGATAAATGTCTGTTAACTAATTTTACAAACCATTCTTCTTCTTCTTCGGGTAGTAGAGAAGCGGGTGGTTAAAACTTGTGTCTCACCACACAGGCTTTGATCGCAGAGAAGGTATGGCCCAACACTTCGGCACTATTTTATGAACAAATGTTAACTTTTTTGGCTTTGAATTGAAGGCAAATTCGTTGGACTTCCGCCGCAATGGTTGTCATTAATTCAGGGAAACAGCAATTCTCTGCGGCCGCGACCTATCATCGATCCGTCAAACATCACTCACACAGAGATTATGGACATAAAAACCCAGACAATCATTCGGGGAAACTCTGTGACCGTCAGTCAGCCTAACAGTCGAGCTCTGGTCACGCGATCCAATTCATTGCGTAAAGCGGATTCACCGCCGGCTCTGCGGCCCAATCGAGTGCCGCCCCCTTTGCCCGAACACGACGTGATCGATAACACCGGTATGTCTGGTGCCGGACAACAACAGCAACAAGTGATGGCATATCCAGTGCCGCCAAACCTTAACCAACATTCACATCATAATCATAATCATTCTCACCATCACATGAATCAACAAAATTTTCAACAAAATCAATTCCGCAATTCTTCACAACCATCAGTGCCTTTAATGCCGGTCCTAATGCCCGGCCATAACTCTATGCAAACAACACTTAAACAACAGTTAAATCTGAATATTAATCAAAATTTAAACCAAAACTTCAAGAATGGTTATAATACTAACGCTTCCGTTAATAATAACTCTCCGAATAATAATAACAGTAATAATAATAACAATAATATTAATAACAACAATATTTGGAGTAATAGTAGAGCCAAGTTCTCAGTCCTACCGCAACCACAACAGCCTATTATACCTCATCAGCCGTTCCCTCACAACTCATCACTTCATTATCCCTCACAACCCATACAACAGACACAATCTCAACCCCAGATGAAGCCACAGCTGTCTCCCCATCAGTCCACTCAACAAAGAGCTAAATCTCCGGTTTCGACGCATTCTGTGCCACAACTCATTCAACACCCGAACAATCAAATGAATGAACAAACGATGAGCAATGGACCACTTCAGCCATACCAGACCTCTTCCATGCAAATGCCAGCCCATTCTCAACAGCATATAATGAGCGCACAAATTCAGACCCAACCTTATAATAGTCAAAATTCATATTCATTTCCACACCCGAACACAAACCCACAAAACCCAACTCCAATCCATTCCCAACAAACCATACCAATGACTGTCGTCCCTTCAATGGCCAATCAGTCAACGAGACCGCAGTCTCCACAACAGCCCTCTCCACATATGATGCAACCGTCAGGTCAGGGATCCCAACCACAGCCATCGCAAGCAGTGCCACAGCAATCGCAACAAAGATTATCGCACGAACAGTTCAGAGCTGCCCTTCAACTGGTGGTCAGTCCAGGGGATCCCAGGTTTGCATTTATACAATACAATGGTTTAGTTTAATCTAATTAATGAAATGTCATTTTATTTTAGAGAGAATTTGGAGAATTTTGTGAAGATAGGCGAGGGATCCACTGGTATTGTTTGCATCGCTCTTGAAAAGAGCTCTTCACGACAGGTGGCCGTCAAGAAAATGGATTTACGAAAACAACAGCGACGGGAACTGCTGTTTAATGAAGTGGTGATTATGCGTGACTATCATCACCCGAATATCGTGGAAATGTACGACTCGTTTCTCGTTGACGACGAACTCTGGGTTGTGATGGAGTTCCTGGAAGGCGGCGCTCTCACAGATATAGTGACTCATTCTCGTATGGATGAGGAACAGATCGCCACTGTTTGCAAACAGTGTCTCAAAGCACTCCGTAAGGAGGTGAGTGTCCCTCAGTAGGTATCTCTGTAGTTTTCACTAAGGTAAGAAGACCGGTCACTACCTTCCCAAACAAATTGTTAATAACAGATAAAAGTCTGGCAATATAGTTAAAATTAAAGAATTTCAGGTAAAATTATCTGACTTTGGGTTTTGCGCTCAAGTGTCCACTGAATTACCGAAACGCAAATCATTGGTTGGAACGCCTTATTGGATGGCACCCGAGGGTATAGCACACGTCAAACTGGAAACCAACCAATTCTAATGCCTATGTATTTTGTTTACAAACCAATAGTTATATCAAGGCTTCCATACGGTCCAGAAGTGGACATTTGGTCGTTGGGTATAATGGTTATCGAGATGTGTGACGGCGAGCCTCCCTTTTTCAATGAGCCCCCACTGCAGGCCATGCGACGCATCCGTGATATGCCTCCTCCGAGACTCAAGAATGTCCACAAAGTGTCGCCCCGTTTACAGGCTTTTCTCGAGAAGATGTTAGTTCGCGATCCGACTCAACGGTCGACAGCATTGGAATTACTTCAACACCCATTCCTTCGTCAGGTCTGTCCATAATATGACACATACACAACTTATGCTAATCACTGATTGTTACGTAACTTGCTATCCGGCCTGGCGGGTCAGAAAACCAAGGCAACTACGCGAGTAAGGCAGTGTCGGGGACAACTCGTGGACAACTGGTAGAGAAGTGGATTACTTTACTGACCATTACTACTCATTTTTATTCAATAATTGCATCCATTATTTGATTATTAATTTATTTTATGCATAAATCGTGAGTCTATTTTGACTGAAATTACAGTACAGTATATATTGAGAAAGAATTAACTAAAAATTTTATACGAAATAACTATTTTTGATGAATCTCTTAGTTTTGATAACTAAATAATAAGTGGCAATCAATTGATGATAAAGTTTGCAATGTCTTGATTCAGACCTTCAATCAGTTTTGTACAGTATATGGCATTCAAACCGCCAAAACAATAATGTGTTGGAATTTGCTTATACTGTGATGTACTGAATGTTAATTTATAACTTATTCTACAATTACTTAATCGATTTAATTCCGTCCAAAAAAACATCGATTACTTAATTATTTTGGTATTCGGTTGGCTATCAATCATAAGTTTATTATTATTTTTGATTAATATAAACACTTTTGTCATAAGAGCTGTTAATCAATAAAATAAATTTAAACACAATTTGTTTAATATCTTAATAAAATACGAATATATAATTACTGTTAATTAAGGCACTAATCATTTAGATATGCATATGGTTTTGAATGAAGGGTTTGTGCTTTTAATAATTTCAATATAAATGTTTACATAAAATACCGTAATTTAAAGATATATTTACAATAACTATAATTACATTTGAGATCTTCTCGAAAGCTGCGATTCAATGCGAGTCCGATAATTAAAAAATTACATTAAAAATAATGCTTAAAATTGAGTTTATATATAAGAATATATATTTGGATTAAAATAGATATAAAAAAAGATAAAATGAATATTTAAAAGAAATTCCAGAACCAAGAAGTGATTTAAAATCTAAAGGGGCGGTAGTGTTGAGATTTGGGTGCATTCGAGCGCCCGTATTGTCGACTCGATTGTTGATTATTACTATTGTATCCATTATTTCGATACGAATTATAATCTGAGTCGCGATTCCAGTCGTTTTGATACCGATTATTGGTGTACTGATAGGGAGAGCGGCTCTTATAAGCGGCCGGTGAACGACTGCTATTGCCTTCTCTGTACGGATTGTTGTTATAACTCTTGTGAGCGCTTCCTCTGTAGTGAGTCATTGGACTCTTCCCTCTCTTTGTATCCCGACTTAGGATAGGCTTACGATTCGGCGATGGAGTGACGCCTTTGTTCCCAATAGTGAACGTGTCGTTCAGAGGACTGTTTTCGTAATCGGTGTCACATTCGACTCGTTTATTGGCCGAAACGATCGCCACTTTCGTTGACTTATTTGCGCTCGAAGTCAAAGATAGCGATGAATTGGTATTTCTTGGCATTAAAGGAGTGCTCTTTTCTGGGGTTCTGTTTGTCGTGTAATAAGGAGTGATGTCGTGGACGGACACCAATGCTCGCGATGTGTTTGCTTGCGGTGTCTTAGGAATGGCTGAATATGTGGGCAAAACAAACAGATTCTCAACTTCTTTACGCTTTGAAATAACGGGAGACGAGATGTCGTCCTTCCAAATGACAGACTTCTTGCCCTCAACTTTGCGTAAAAGAGAAGTAAAAGCGTTTCCTAACTCTTCGCTCAGTCTTCCCATACCATTGAGACAGTGATAGGAATGTCTGTTAAGTTTCACTGATTCAGTCATCAGTTCTTCGTTGGTATCCAAACGGCTGAGAATCTCTTTCGCCATTTCTGTTGAATGCTTTTCGGCAAACGATTTGTCATTGAATTCGGTTTTCATGTTTTCGTCGATGAAATATCTGTTAATAAGCCAATCCTCTTCTCCCGTCTGTTCTTTCAGTTCACTTTCAATTCGCTTTATTTTATTCTCATTTTCCTCTACTTTCAGCTCAAGAGTACTCTTTTGATCGGAATAATGAAGTTTTTGATTATAAAGCGACTGCAAGGGATCAGCTTTAGTGATAGCATTCATATCGTATTCTTCGGAAGCCATCAGTTTGTGTCTCTCGATGTCATACTTCCGGAAAAGAAGTCTCAACTGAAAAGAGAAGAGATAATTAATTTTTACAAAAAAATCATAACTATTTCAATAATTACATCAATTTTCTTAAGATTAGACTCGCATTCCATGAGTCGTTGTCTCAAATCGATTCGTTCCTCAAACAGCAAATCCAAAGAATTCTTGACGACATTCAAGAGTGCATTGGAATCACTTTTGGCAACGATAGCATTCTTGGGAACCGTATCCATCTTAGATCTCAGCCTTTGGTTCTCTTGTCTAAGTTGTGCCAATTGTTCATTCAATTCAGTAATCTTGCGATTCTGTGATTCCATCAAACCGTTATAATTGCGGGGCTGAAGACCGACAGAGAAGTTATTCTTCTTAAGGTTTAGTTGGATTCCCTTCGCTCTGTCGGCGTAGACCAGTGTGTTGTGCGTCTCTTCCAAGTGAACGTTGGATTGACTTACGGTCGCAATCATCGCTGTCTGACAATTGCCACCCAAAGAGTCACGCAATAGGAGTGTCAGCTTTGATCCGCGGTATGGAATGTAAGAGCACTTCTTCTTGGAATCAGAGGCCAAAGCAGTGATACAATTGCCTAACGCTAGCAATGATTTATTGATGTTTCCGCCCTCTCTTTGCAGACCTTTGGATCGATTGGTCTTATAAGCAGTGGTCGCGCGTTCACTGCCGGCCAAATCGATTAATGACATCTTCGAGATCTGAATCGACAGCTCTTGAGTCGATGAATAGTCTTGTTTTTTCAGTGATATCTGGAAGACTGCGTGAGAACGAGACGACTCGGCGTTGGCATCGGTCGGGTGTTGCGTTCGGTTCCGATTCCCGTATTCTAACATTTCGAGCAAATGGTTCGCGTCTTTGGGCTGATGTACCGACAGATTGTTGACCACAACTCCGCGGCGACTGTCCTCACGAACGGCCAGCGCTTTGCCGGACGTCGGGTCGAGTAAATCAAAGACCACTTCGTTATAGATCTCGAAGTAAGAGATACTGAGCTCTAACTTCTCCTCTTCACTCTTCTCTTCGATCTGACGGAACAAATCCATTGTTGTGAAGAATATGACTCCGGGATCGTCTTGAGAGCCGAGCATTGTGTGAGTCTTTCCCGAACCGGTGGCTCCGTATGCGAAGACCGCGCAGTTGTAGCCATTGAGCAGCGATTGGACAAACTTTTTGGTCGACTGTTCGTAGATCTGAATGTTTTCCATGTCTTCGCCGAACACGCGGTCGAACACAAACTGCAGGTTCTTATTGGGTCGCCGACCGATCTCTCGGTACCGCTTCCCGTGATATACGTACTGATCATCAGTGGTCTGATTGTCGTCCAACTCTATGGGATCGAAGACAAGCAGTTGAGAGTCGATCACATCAATCGACTTCTTGGAGGCGTTGGTGTTGTCGTTGTCATTGAGCGGCCGAACCCTCACAAACACTCGCATCCGATTGGAAGCGTCCGAATCCGACGGCTCCACACTTTCAGACCAATTGGACGACCGTTTGGCCGGACTTCCCATGTCTTCCATCCTCTCATACGACGATCTCTTCAGACTATTAGACATTCTCTGCAATCAATTCAATAGGATTTCAATGAGTTTTATAAATGAGATTTGAAATGAGATTTGAAATGAGATTTGAAATGAGATTTGAATCGCGAAAACCGTTTCAATCAATGAATCTATAATTTAATGATTGAATGCTAAATGACTTACAAATGGACGACAATTACAACAATGGAAATGACATTACATTGCATTCACTCAACAATTAAACACTATTTGAACACAATTTGCAACTCATGTGTGGAGTAAAGCGTTGTTTCAATCAGTCCTACAATCAAATGACTATTCATTCAAACCATTCATATGTTAACGTATTTTTCAAATCTTGTCATTTAATTTCAAAACATAGTGTCCGTCACTGCCATTGGCTGTCACGAGTCATGTGACACTTCGAGCATTTTGATTGGTTGTGTCGGGTGTGGGCTGTGATTGGCTGTGGATTGTAGTGTTTGGATGAGTCCTTCGGAGAGATTACTCGTTACTCGTGTTGTTGTGAGAAAAGGCCTGAACTGAGAGTACAGACTGTATTCGTCTCGTATTGGTTGACACGCATTGGTTCAGCCATTGATAGCTTTCATGAAATAAATAAACACTTGATTTGTATTTCTATTTTGCTTTTTATTTTCGACACTTTTTTGGCAAAAATAGTCATCAATTGATTGACAATTGAATGCAAATTGTGGACCACTTTCTCATCTTTGATGGCATCAAATGAGTGGTAATGAACAGAAAGTGGTGTAAATCATGATTAATGGCAACAAATATACAATTGAATGGTAGACAGAGATGTGAAACATATTTATATATAATTGTAAAATTAATTTAATGTATAATTGGGTGAAAAGGTATGCAAACAATAGATTTAATAGTTTTATATATGTATCAAAACAATGCTATTTATAATAAATATACAATTTATAAGGTTTTTCACCAAAAAGATAATCCATTTATTATTTTATACATTATTTGTTGGCTTTTTTCAATATATAAATACCAATAATTAGTTTCAATTTGAAAACAATTTGCTTTTTATGCCATTATTTGTGACATTAGTTTTGCTTTACTTTTTGATAAAAATAGGACTCATTTGTTATATTAATTTATAAACAATTAAATTATTTATATTCTCAAAACTGTCTAAACTTTTTGTATTCATTTTTAAATGTTTTAAATTATAATATAATATGTATTTTGAAAAAGACATTGAATTTAATGAAAAATAAGATTGTTTTGCGAATAGTTTGCGCAAAATATATCATATAATGGGTTATTAATCGATAGACAGAGAGTTGTGGAGGAAGTGGTCATTTGGTGATATACGTCCTTTTGTTGGCGCACTTCTTCGTGATTTTGCCGACCCTTTCCTTGTGATCAGTCGTCAGTTTTACGATTAGTTGTTTCGCTTCTATTATCTGATCCGAGAATAGATTACTTCTTTGAAGGTTACCTCGAATCAGATCATTAAGTTTGACAGCTATGGTGTCCAGAGAGCAATCACTGGCACCTGTAGTCCTGTTGTTCGCATCACAAACACTATTAGAAGAGCTATTGTTTGGTTTAGTGGACGACGAGGAAGAGGGTTGGGCTGAGACAGCGCAACACTGGTTGTTGGCCAGAGAGGCGTCTTTTTCGAACGTGTCTAAGAATGTGTGCAGTCTTTGGTAAACATTGTGTTCGTTGTCAGTCATCACTTCCATCTGAGCGGCCAAGTGATGGATTTTCCAGCCATTCTTGCGTTGAAGGCCTTCACTACTCAACTCACTTAAAGTCAACTTCTTTTCGGGTTTTGGTCTCACATCGGAGTACTTCAAGAAGTGATACTGAAGTGATTTCCAGCCCATGTTATACGACGACAATAACGACACTCTGGGCTTACGGTTCACAACTCACTTAAAGTCAATTTCTTTTCGGGTTTTGGTCTCACATCGGAGTACTTCAAGAAGTGATACTGAAGTGATTTCCAGCCCATGTTATACGACGACAATAACGACACTCTGGGCTTACGGTTCACGTGAACTGCACTCTCCTTATCGGCGCAAATGTCTTGTTTTGTATCGTGTGTTGAGTTATTTAATAAACGCATGTTTTGGGACGACTTGAGACTCGACGGCTCTAACAACTGTTTCCGAGGCTTCTTTCGGGGCGTTTGGTTGCCCTCAGAGTTGGGAGTCGTTGGCAGAGCTGTCGTACAATTGGGCGCCGATATGTTGTCGGAGACGGCCATCACATCATTCACTCTATTGTCGACTAAAGTCAACGATTCGTTTGGTTTGATACCATAATTAGTGATTCTGAGAGGTATAGCGGATCCAGTTATGGCTGAATTGGGAGCCGTTGTCTTAAACAAAGCGGTGGGTGTGAGACCAGTGAGGGAATCGTTAGGTCTCTTGCGGATCAAAATGCTGGGACGCGGAGAGCTGGGAGTCGAGGCCTGGAGTTGTGTTTGTTGTTTAATCGGCGAATTAGCCGGCGATGAGAGAATGGTTGGCCTCAGAGGCGATGTTGTGCTCACTGTTGGCGGTAATAACTGTTGCGGTTGTGATGAGGGGTGCAGTGAATTCATGTTTGCATTTTGATGACCAATAGGTCGATGAGAGGTATGGATGTGTTGCGAAGATTGCAAACAATTACTTACATTGTGTGAAATGAATGGAGCGGTTGTGGAGACCACTGAATGTCTGGTTGTAATCAAGTTATTGGGAACCGCATTGAGTGACAGTTTGGCCGTCTGTTGCGACGACTGCGCAGATGTGGTGAACGAAGCGACGGAACCGCCGACAGAATGGCTAACATTAACCATATTATGAAGTGTTGTGTTCCCGGAGTTGATTGCCGTCGAACCCGAAGGCGAGTTGAATATGAAGTGACCTTTGGGTAAGTTTATGATCCCAGACTTGTTGGCCGTTGTGGTCGGCACTGAACCCATCGGCAACTGTCCAATAATGCCCACTCGGGCCACGTGTTGGCCCGACATAGTGGTGGCCGTTTGGTGACCGCTGCCACCGATACTGATGGCCATTTTGGTGGGCTGTGTCGTCATGAGAGGAGTTCCGGTCATTAGTGTAGTTCGCGGTCCACTTATTTTGTTGATGTTATGAATAGTGTTTGGCTTCAAATCGTTTGAAGGCTGATGTAGTCGTAGCGGTCGGGCGTTCATCACATTAGACTCGTTAGGGTTGGCCATCACTAGACTCACCGATTCGATGGGCAGCGCACCTGAGGTGGTCATGAAGGGTCGGCTTTGTCCGCATATCTGTTTGATAGTAGTTTGTGAATGTGAGGACACACCCGATGTGTTGGCGTGGGTTACAGTCGAGAGATTCAAAACGGGTAAAGCGTTGGTCGTGTGCTGTTGACCACCGATTAGATGTGTTGTCCGCACAGATATGGATGCGGACGATGACGTGAGGGATGGCGTGGAACCAGTTGTGCTCATAGTCTGTCCCGATATGACGGTCGACCCCCTAAGCGAAGCACTCATCTGAAGTGCAGCCCTATTGCCGGAACTGATGGGTCGCGGGTGTAATATAACGGTCTGCGGGCGGGAGTTATTGTCGCCCGAAAAACGGGCCACCATTACAGACAACGCGCCCACAGGGATGGCCGCCGACGGCGCCGAAGACTGTGACGAACTCGAGTTGAAGTAATTGGCGGTCGAAGAGGTGGTCGTCACCCGATTGGTGGCCAGAGTTGTCCCTGAATTAGACATATCTAAGGAGGAATTGGTCGGCAAACAAATGCCAATTGGCTTCAGATCTGCCTTTTGTGGCACAGCTGTCGATCCAGAGGAAGAGGTAACCGAAGATATTATTGGCATTTCATCAATGCCTACAAGTCTTGGATCTTAGATCTGTTGAGTCTTTGGTCACAATTAGTGTTGCTTTCGATGAAATGAAATGTCAGACAAAACCAACAAATAGTACACCATTTATGGCCACATCTTTGCCATCAACTCATCACTTGTTTGGCAGACAATCACTCATTCAATACCAATCATAGCAGACAATCGTCGATACAATACAACATTCAATTAATACCAATCATTGGACCTATAATTCAATGGTCACAGACATCAGCAGCGAAGACATGAAGACATGAATGCATTCATAATATTATGTTTGTATTGAGTGATAGTCTCGACCCATACTATGCATACATTCAGTACTGTATTCAGTATGAGTTGATATGAGTCGCGCATTCACTACAACTTCAACACAATTCAATGCATTCAACACTTAATGCATTCAATACTGACTCTATGGACGCCAACACTACCAAAGGGGACGTGACGTCAACACCAATACAGCCCTCCTATTGGCCGACAAACACATCGCTGTTTCCGCCACACATATTAATATAGGGCTAACACAACCGCTTCACTACCACTACAGCAATACGTGCCAAAGGGGGCACTCGTGAGCCCAACCCCTGCCACACAACTCACCACACATTCCATTCCATTCGCGCCATTGTTTGGCACGTAATCTATGAATGACTTGTTATTTAATGTTTTCACTTCAATGTAAAGGCATTACAAATGCTGTACAAAATCAAAGCAACAGTTATTCTGGCATTTAATTGATGTCTGGATTGGAGTGAAAGTGATGTGACTTTTGCTTAAATAACGCCAATAAATGTCTTCAACGCTATTAAACACACATTCAATGAATTTAATGAAAAAACGTTTAAATTTCGTTACAAAACAATCGATCGATTGAAACAATAATTACGACAAGAATTGCATTGAAATAAAGTTTGTTTTACAAGAGATTACAAATAAATTGACTATTAATTTGTCACTTAAAATGCATTTCAGATGTAATTGAATGATAGACTCAATGAGTGAATGATTATATGGAAAGGTAGAGAAGGATAGGGCAGTGATCGGAGCCTTTGATTTGTTTCCTAATTTGGTTGTCGCAGATGTTTGCCATCAACTGCTCGGAGACGACAAAGTAGTCGAGTCTCCATCCGATGTCTCTATCCCTGGCGTTCCTGAAGTAACTCCAATACGTGTAACACTTCTTGTCGTTGGGATAAAAGTGTCGGAAAGAGTCGACAAACCCTTTGGAGAGGAATCGAGTGAAGTCTTCTCTCTCTTCTGCGGTAAATCCGGCCGTTTTTGTGTTAGTCTTCGGGTTCTCTAAATCGATCTCTTTGTGAGAGACATTCAAATCACCGCAAAGTATGACTCCTTTCTTCGCTTTCAAAGCAATGAGATATTCGTCGAAATCATTGTTCCATTTCTGGCGGTAATCGAGTCTTACGAGTCCTCTGCCAGAGTTGGGCACATATGTGGTCACCAAATAAAAGTCAGGGAACTCAGCGGTAATGACCCGACCCTCGGAGTCGTGTTCTTTCAAACCGATGCCATTCTTCACTTGTAATGGTTTCTCTTTACTGAAGAGACAAACCCCAGAATATCCCGGCTTTTCGCCCAAATTGTAATACTTGTACTTATATTTGGCCCAAACATTGATCTCTTCGGGAATGTCTTTCTGCTGACACTTGACTTCTTGAAGACACACTATATCTGCGTCTTCTGTCTCAAAATCTTTGAGTCTATTCTTCTTGAGAAGAGCTCGAAGTCCGGCCACATTCCAAGACATTATCTTCTTATTGAATTTGGATCCAATAGATGACACACGACTGCACTCTTCATTCGTTTCATTAGCCGTTGTCTTACATAAGTCTGACTTAGCTTTGGTGTCAATTCCACTGTCAACGCCATTGTCTTCCTCCTCAGTAGTCTTCAATTTCTTTGTCGTCTTCAGTGGTTTAGACTCTTTGGCACTCCTTTTAGGCATTTTTGACAACAAAACTATTTTTAAAAAATAATTTAAAGTTTTATTCTTTTGAGAAAAAGTAAATAAATTCATTGAATATTGAATTAGTTTTGAAGTGATTTTTAGTCAAATTAAATGAATGACAACTGAATGTCATGTGAATAGACATGACATAAGGTATATGTCATACAAAATGTATTAAATATTTCAAAAGCAATGCAAACAATTGGTCTTTAATTAAACAATCATTGAAATGAATGATAGGAAATGATTGACTTAAGAAGTGATTGTAGTCTGCGTTTGGTTTATGTCATTATAATTAAAGTGAATATTTATATGCATTATATATAATACCAGTTATTAATAAACGTAATGTTAATAATGAATGGATTTATAATTAAACAAAATATAAACCATAAAAACAATCAAACTTTAAAAGGGATTCAAATGTGAGAACACGTGTTGAGTGACAGCTGTTTATGACTTTCTGTTGTTTTTCAATAAATACTGTTTTGAATGAAACTTCAATTTATTGTTGATTGGATTTATTTATTGTTTATTAGATTTAATTGATTTATGAATGAAAGAAGCGATTGAATTGATTGTTGTCTTCAAACACATCCAAATCAGAAGACATTTGTTTCGCTTAAATGCAATCAATTTGGATGAAAATGAGTGGACGAGTGGTCAACGAAAACAAATGAAAGTGACCTCACATTTGGTTCAAACCATTTGTTTTGACAAAAAGCTCACCGATTGTCTCGATTACCGGCGAAGAGTATTCAATACAATCAACACTTCGGTGAAAGCGAAGCACCGAAACACTCATTCCAGTGATGGACACAACTATTCGGACAAATGTGATGAACCATTGGATGACCAAACATGTCATTTGATCCGTATATTAGTTGTGTTGCCATCGATGGACCACTACTTATACATTGACAGCAATTGGTTTGTTTTGATTGATTGAATGTTTGGACACAAACTTAATGAATGTGTCAATGAATTGGTTTGTTATAGGAGTGGATGTGTTCTGAATTTGGTTACGATTAGGATGAGAGTGGAGGAGAGCTTCTCATGGCTGTCCACATTAGGCGGTGCCTACTCTTCACTCGGAGAAAATAATATCCATTTCGTTAGTATTGATTCAAACATTGATTTAAAACACATTTTATTAAATAAATCATTTGTTACATAAATAATGACAAATACAAAGGCTATAAAAGCGGGACAGATATCGCGATCGCAACTACTATTGGCCAGTATTACGGGTGACCCGAATCTGATGGCCAAATGTGGTATATTTATGGCATACAGTCTCTGCCAACAGGACAGGAAAAGAGCGGCCATTCAACTGATCCGACGAACACTCCATCCATTCATCAATAGAATAGAGTTTTGCGACCAAATCGTTAAATCAATGTTTTGTGCACTTTGTTATCGAATCAAACATTTCATTAAATAATTAACAATCAGTTATTTGTTTTAAAAGATATATAAATATCCGAAAAGCATTTTAATGGAAAAGATAGCAACGATTTGATTGCAAACTGTTTTATAACTCATTTATAAATTGTGATAAAAAAGAATAGAATAAAAGCTATTAGTTATTAATCAAAACCTAAAGACCGATCCGTTTAATGATTTTACGGATTATTAAAATAGTAAGAAATTATTCAAATAGAGGACAAAGAGGTGTCTCTAATATTCTTCATTTGTTGTGTCGTTGAGTATTTGGTTCTCATCGGGACTCTCGTCCGGCACTGCGAACCCCTCTTCAGTCGCGTATAGAATCTCCAGAATCTTATCAGTGATGAGATTCTTCTCATCGTTCGGATCATTGTTTTGACACAAGACTTCGATTTCACGCAACTTTCCGTAATAGAAGTCTCTCTCGCGCTCTAAGCTGTCGATCGTTACCTTCATTTCATTCATCTGAAGTATTAGTGGTAATCGTATTAATGGTAATCAAAGTCGTGTCAAACAAATAGCTAACCCTTGAGTCCATTTCCTCTAACTTATGCAAATCCAATGAGTTGTCCGTATGATCGCCGCCGTGAGAGTTGTTGGACGCCTGAATCCGACGATTAGCGGCCGCGGCTTTGAGTGGTGCCACGCGGTTAGTGGGCGCCGCTCGGCCTACGGGTCGGGCAGTGGGCGCAACATTTCTCTGGGCCGGCACTCGTGAGTTGAGAGTATTTGCAGAACCGGTTCCAATGGGGCCGCCATTACCCGCACCCATAGTTACCGCACCCCTCGCCTCCATTGCGTTGTATTCTCTTCCGTCATAATTGGAGTCAAAGAACTTCTTAAACCATTGAAGGAACTCAAAGTTGTCCTGAAAGCGTCCCTTCACCAGACGATTGATCGCCACTTCCTATTAGTTAGCAATTAATGGATTAATAAACACTTCAATGGTGTGAATGTCATCAATACCTTATCGCAGCCGACTTTCTTAAAGGCCGCCTGAAGTAGTTTAAAGTTCTGAATGTATTCGTGCTCTAAATTGGTCCGGAATTTCACTTTCTTTAAGATAATAACTCCGGGAAACAACATATCCATGAAATTACAATAAGCGGCACCTAATGTACAGTACAATGAATTTTAATCATTTATTACGACAAGAAGTGGACATCAATTGAAAGGTGAGGACCACTGACCGGAACAAAGTTCTTCAATCTTCTTATAGTTGGATTCGAGACAATCGTTAACCCAATTAAGCATTTCATGTCGACTCAGGTTCTCGGATGTGGCAGAAGTGGCGTAAACGTTGACGCATTGGTACGCCAAGTGACTCGACATCTGGCTCTCAGACATTGCAACTAAATTAGCGATACATTCACACAATTAGTACATTTGTAGAGACAATTCAAATCTCGGTATTGAGTGTATAGTTAGCCATTAATTACAGACATATCAGTCAATTGACTCAACAATTGGTACGTAAAGTGATTGGAGGGAGAGGTAGGCGTCGGAACGGGTTTTCAATTCATTCATACATTCATTGTATATCTTAAGCAATGAATGACTCATTTAATACAAATATCATTCAAATTCAAATCCATTGTATGTATTGTCTTAACGTTCAAAACCATAGCAATAGATAAGACAAAGACCGGCTAATTGTGACCACACATCACATCCGGTGATCACTTTACCACCGATGACCAAATGGGAGACATGTCGTGGCACTCAATGCCCATTCACTCAATACATGCATTAATTATAATACAATTAAATACTTTACCACTAATTGTAATATTAATATCAAATGCATTGAAATAAGAAAAAGGTTTTAATTAAAAAATACTTACATTTGCTGTCAATTGGTTTCAATTGATTTGACAGTCAAGTGATGTATAGATTTGTATTAACTAATGATTAAATGCCGTTAATATTGAATATTAAATGTGTTTATAATTATGACAATTACTAAATGAATGACTCAATGAATGTATAAATAATTACATGAAATGACAATTAATGAGACAAATGTTTGAATCGTTAAATTGATAGCAAAACCACTTTTATTACAATATATTCAATGTTTGAGTGAATGAATGAATACAACGACTCAAACATACCGTACATTCACTTCACGTCTATATTATTACACAATCAAAGTGTTGAGCGCTTTATTCAAACACTTTTTTGTTATCACTAATTGTGCGAAACTTATCTATCATTACAATCAATCGGTATTAAAGTATTTGTTATAAGGTTTGACACTTGAATGTATTGAATGTATTTTTGCACCAAAACATATTAATTACAATTTAACTAATTTATGTCATTATTAAGTTTTGTCGGCGTCTAGTCTTAGATTATGGTTACTATTAACGACTATTTTAATTCAATTTAAATCATATTTAATAGATTATTATCTTTTAGATCTTTATTAAGATATATTATAAACACTAATAATAATAATTAATTATTATAATTAATAAAGAATCTTCCTGTAGTTCTGTAAGTGTTTGCAATTGAAATCATTTAATACTTTATTATTTTGTAATGTAAACTAATTATTTTAATTACATAAGAATTAATGTGACCTTAAATTATCATTAGTTTTATTTAAATGTCGTTTTGATAATTAGCCGTTGAATTGAAGACTGGACTCAGTCTAACCATTCGCACACTTCCAGAGGTATTGACTTTAAGTGAAAGGTTGTCACCGCTGGACAACTTTGCAATTAGTTTCGCGTTATCGTAGAGATCGTGGACATGATATAGTGGTTCAGTCGATATGTTTGGTATAAGTGATGATAATTTCAACGATACCTTAAAACAAACGTGTGGTTAGCATTCAAATTACTTATACATATTCTGGTTTTTTGTATTCCCAACAGTAATATACAATATTAATAAATGTTATGAATATAATTAGCAATTCATATAAAGTAAATATCATTTTCTTTATGAACGCAATAAGAAATGAGAAGTCATTCAACATTTTGTGTTTAAATATATGCAAAGAAGGATGAAATAGGAAAAGCAGTAAAACTCACAATAAGAGGTGTTCCCAAAACTTTTCTGTTGAAGTAAACGATAGCATAGGTATGGACTCCGTTCACAATTGGTGTCATCGGTTTAACCCACACTTCAATTCCGTTTTTCTGAAAAAGACATTTCATTTTTGATGAATTTATTTATTTATAGCATAGAAACAATTCGCTCACTGAATACACTCTTAATCCTAAGATTCCCAGTTTGTCCTGATTTACAGCAATTATATCCTTATTTTGCAAAATATCTTTGTATTCCTTTCCGATTTGTCTCAAATCATTGGACATAAGAAGAGGTGCGGACCAAATGGCCCACAAAGCCATCTGCGCTTTACTTTGCTCTAAACTCAAGCCATAGTTTCCTTCAATGAAGTATAAAAAGCAATTAATTGATTGCGAATCGAGCAGTGATTTGCTTACCGATGATCAACATATCCGGATCATTCCAAGAACCAGGACCTGCCGTTTCATCACAAAATACATATTTTATATTTGTAAAGTCATTATATTGACGTTTAGAAATTATTAATTATAAGTTATAATTAATAAATCCTCAATTTTAGCATAAATAATAAACACTTTTGGTATATTTATAACTCGTTATATTAATGCCGCGTAACTATAAAAATAAGATTAAATAGTTTCCAATTGTTTAGTAAAAACTGAAGGAAAGGTGGGGTAACTCTTGGGTCTCAATCCAATTCACATTTATTCCGGTTATCGCTCTTTGCTTGCGGTTAACTCTTATTAAAGTTATACTAAATTTACATTTATAACTATTTATTACTTGTAATACTAAAATTCTGACGACTTATATGACACGTGGTTAATATAATTAATTTAGTAATATTAATCTACACATATGGTCTCAAGAATTATAAATTGCTTCATTTTTTGCACAATTTTTTATACAAATATAAAATCTTTTAATAGAAATAATAATAATTGATGTTTTAAAACAAAGAAAATAAACCCATTTTGATTTTTATGCAAATTATACTCAAATTCGTTATGTAATGTAGATTTCAATATATATTTTTTGCAACATCGATGTCTGTAATTTACTGGAAAATGTGACATAAATTAAATGTAGACTACATTTTAAGATAAGTCTAGTTTAAAAAGTTAAGTTTTTAAAAATCATTATAAAGTCTGTTAATGCCTCTAATTATTTGGTCAAAGTTTCACTTTTCCAGCGAATACCTCAAAGGTTTCACTTTAGGTAAAGCTTTAGCCAAACCTAAACCCGTTCTCCTAGTGTTAGCGTTAAGACAGTTATTAAAATGCTTTCAGTATTTGCTTAGAGCTATAAAATGAAGTTTTCAAATATTTTCCAAGACCTCAGGACAGTCTCTTCCATGTGCCCCTTCTCTCTCCCCAAGTCTCTCTCTCTCTCTCTCTCTCTCTCTCTCTCTCTCTCTCTCTCTCTCTCTCTCTCTCTCNCAGTATTTGCTTAGAGCTATAAAATGAAGTTTTCAAATATTTTCCAAGACCTCAGGACAGTCTCTTCCATGTGCCCCTCCTCTCCTCTCCTTTGATTTTGTTCGTACTCTCATTAGTCGGAATACCTTTCAGACCTTACGACCAATCAGTCAATTATGGTTAACATAAAGAGTTTTAAAACTTTTCTACATAGAAGGAAGACACGAACGAATGAAAGGGTATTTTTAGCACTAAAATAATTATAGAACAACACATGGAAACAACTTCCATATTAATCTCACAGCTCTTAATAACATAAATAATGAATCAATTAATTAAATAAATTATTTTCATCAATACAGTAGTAATAATGGCATACAATGTATGCCATACATGCTATACATGCCATACATTGACATAATGCTAAATTTAGAAAATAAAATAATTCAGAAATGTATGCTTTAAATGCAATTATAATGACATCCAATAACATCTGCTACGGAAAGATGTTTTCAATTTGTTGTCTTTTAGGTATATATTTGGGAATAAGATTATTATCAGGAATTAATTTCCACATAAAAATTGAACTAATTTTTAGTTGAAATGTATTAAAGTATTTGTATATCAGAAAAGCAAATCATTGAATTCATTAATTCGTTACTGAATTATTGATAAATTATTTATGTGTACATTGTTTTGATTGAAAGATGTCATACAAATCCATGGTTACCACAGGGGATAATATCCTCTGCAGTTAATCACACATTTGATACGACTTTGGGTTCTCTTTCTTTGTGTTTCAAAAACTCTTGAAACTTTTGAGATAAATCTGGAAGTTTTCGCAGCAATTGTATGATATGTTTAAACAAACTTAAACTAATCTCTCGTAACCTCAATAGTTAAATGTAAAAGTATTTATATTAATATATCATTAAAACAAATAATTCAAAACTTTAAATTGGATGCCATAAAGGAAAAAGGTTTGGGATTTATTGCACTTGTTTTCCGTTGGGTTTGAATGATTGGTTTTGAGGGATAAAATGAAGGGTTTTGTCTGTCGGACAAACGGTTTGAGATAACAAAGTTGGGAACAATGAGAATGTTTTGCAGGCATTCACTTATACCGTGATATTTAACCAAAACGTTTTGATATTTGGCATAAAAGTCGATAATAGAGGTAACGCTAGACCACGAGTCCATTATGTCGTCAAAGTTACGCCAATAGTTGCAGAACTCGGCTATTCTCTGATAGTCGGGGTTTTGGTCGATCTGATAGGCCGGCCAACTGCACGCATACACTATACCACGACCTATCGTTCCCCACATTAGAAAGGGTTATAAATGGGAGTAATAAAGATATGGCGATAAACCATAAACCATATAAAACATATGCAAATTACTGACCGCTAGAGTTCAAGGCTCGAGACATTTCTGGATACATGTTTGTGTAGTTTTTAGTATCAGCGTTACAACCGTCCAGTTTCAGTGAGTCGACCCCCCATTCGGCGTATGTGTTAGCGTCCAAACTGTCGTAATCACTTCCATCGACATCCCTCTGCCCGGGATATCCGCCGCATGTCTTTGAGCCCACGTCTCCATAAATACCGAATAATAAACCTTTGGAGTGGATATAGTCTCCCAACGCTTTCATACCACTGGGAAATCTCTTGTGATCGGCTACTAGTCTTTTAGTGGTCGCGTCTCTGGCCATCTCAGACCAACAGTCGTCGACATTCACATACTTATAACCGGCATCTTTATAGCCATCGGCTGCCATCCTATCGGCCATATCCTTATATAACTGTTCATTTATGCATTCATTTGGGTAATTAACGCAATCGATATTACAAGCAAACCGTTCCCACGATAACCAACCCATTGGTGGTGTCTTTGCTAAACCATTATTTAAAGAGTTTGCAACTCCTAAACATACAATTAAAACAATTGCCTTCACAAACATTATTGATCGCAGATTTAGAATAAATTAGTTGTGAAAGTAGTTTCCAATAACTTTTACTAAATGCTATTCAAATGAAGTGAACAATAAATGATTGGTAAACACTCGTAAAATTGATTTTTAGCTCAAACCTAATCTAATCTAAGAAGGAGTTCATAATACATTTTCTAATACTAATTATCAATTTGTTTACGATTTATAATTATAAAAGTAATTTATTTCATAAATAATTGAAATTAGAATTTTAAGCAATTGTAAAATGTTTATTTTTATTAAATATTATATTAATTTTATATCGTATTATATATTTATATTCTGTTAACACCAATAAATAAATTCTCTGTTTTTAGTTTGTAATTAAAGTTAGGATTTATGAAAAATTCTTTACAATTTTATGTATAGAAATAAAAGTTAAATTAAAATGTGAAATAAATTATTTAAAATGTGAATAGTTTTAAGATTAAGAAATATAGATAAGGAGATACTTCAGGTATACATATTTATATAGCATAATAATTTTTCTGTACTCTTATATATTAAATAGTATCAGACATTAATCCTTGTAATCGACCCAACATTTCAAGGTTTATCCTATGGTTTAACACTTTATTGAATTTATTGAAAAGTGCAAAATCTAGTCAAAAAATATATGATTCCTTAACATATGATAGCTTAAGAATTATAATCCAATGTTTGATAGAATCTACTCATAAATATTGAAAGCAATTAAATTATGCCTCAAATTCCTTAAATAAAATATATGTATATTTTGTAATATTTATATTATGTTTTAAACTTCACATTAATTTTCAAATTAACGATAAGATAATAGATTAATGGATATAAACTTTTTTATTCAATAATTAAATAATGAATTGCTTTCAAAACCTGAATATGAAATAAGGAACTTGTATTAAGTGAGTGGTCCTCAAACTTACTGTATTTGTTGCCAAATAATTGCAATTAAAAGTCATATCATATGTTAACACAAAAATCAATTTTCAAATCATGTTTGCGCTGAAAATAAATGCATTTCAAAAGAAACGGTTAAATAAATGATAAAATAAATAAAATGAAACAAAATTGGACTAAAAATCAAACTTTTAATAATCAAAATAAACGTGAAATCAAAGGCACATTTCGATCATATATTGTATCATAATTTGAATAATTAATATGAAATTCTAATAATTAATAATAAATTGATTATTTAAATGAAAAGCAAATATTGAGTCATTCTCTTCAATACATGAGAGCATTAGACCATTAATTCATCAATTCTTGAAAACGACACATAATTTCTATTATAAACCACTGTTTGCATGCATTCGTATCACAGATACAGTACTAAAAACACCAAACCTTTCCCTGAATTATCAAACACTGTATGCATTCCTTTCACAAAACTTCTCGTCTTATGTTTTTGACAATAATTTTTAAAAAATTAGAAAACAATTCAAAAATTTACTTCTAATTAATTCATACAAAAACAACTATAAGTGAACAGTGATTATAATATAAATTATTAAATAATTATAATAATTAGTAATAAGAGGCAATCATTCAATTAATTAATATATAGTAAACACAATCAATAATCAAATAATTATAATATAATAAATTGGGGTAAAAAAGATGAACTCATATATAATAATAGTTATAATTCCTATAAATGTTTAATAATAGTTATAATAATAATAATATTCTTATTTCGGTTCCGTTTTAATTTCATTCGACAATATTTTAAGCAATTTATCTCTCTTTTCGATCTCAGCGTTCAGAGTCCTCTCGAGATATCTTTGTTTGTCATTGAGTTGATGGACATAAGCGGTCGCCTCGTGAAGAATCATAATCCTCGGCGGCCTCTTGTCAGCCATTTTTAGTTTCGGGATCTGATCCTTAAGATTAACGAATGAATTCCTCAAATGGTCTCTACGTTTGCGTTCGGAGTCGTTGTGTTCGCGTCTCCGCATTGGCGGTACTTTTGGAGACAAAGTGTCGCCATTGCTATCCACCTCTTCTTCCTCCTCCTCTTCTTCTTCGTCCGATTGACTTAACCTTTCATTTGCTTTACTTTTGAGGAACAGATTGTTTTGAGCGAACATTACTTTACGTTCAGATGAAACATTTGATGCTTTTCTTCGGGTCGAAAACTTGCAACTCTTTTGTTGGGATTCTTTAGTATCTTTAGCACAACTACTCGTCGTTTGCAAACAACTCTTTGCAGATTTGATGAAATGCTTATCGTTTCTAATGATGCGAACCGTAGGAACGGCTAGTGATCTATCGGTCGTCTCTTTTGTGTTCACTATTGAGTTGCAACTCATCGGCGAATTGGCTTTTATTATCTTTATTTTCTTCCCATTTATTTTATGGCATTTAATCTTATTTCCAGATCTCGTCTGAACCTTATGTTTGGGGTGTATTAGGCCTGAAATGACAGCAAACCCAACATTAAAACATTGTCCCAAACAAACAAAACTCACTCCCGGTATAGGAGTTTCAAAATTCAGTGCAAAATAAGTTTCAATTTATGAGACGTTTTTGATGTACAATACGAGACATTTAAAGCGCGAGTCTATGTCTGCACGCATTCAAGCATTTAATTCAGACAAAACAGTACATCAAAAACGTCCCACAAATGGTCACGTATTACGCAATCGAAACCATTTAAATGGTATACTATATAGTGATAGCAATTGTGGACTTACTCTGCGTCTCGTATGCGGTCTTAGATTTGCTGTTCGGGTGACTAATGGTGTGAACAAGAGATCCGCCGTACGAGTGGTCGTTCATAAGACTCTCTTTCACTTTCGATGCAAATGAAGTACTGCTGGAACTGGACTGCGAAGAGTCGGTGCAACTGTTGAAGTCCTCGTCCATTGAAGACCGGCTGTCGTCCATATCGTCGTTAGAAGAGGTGTCACTCATGGGTGACAACAGATCATTGAATGTGTGGTTCATAGCGAAGGGAGAAGTGGACAGAGCGGTGAAGGGGGTGTCGGGTCGGGTGCGGCCGCACAGCCGTCCGGTGTGTCCGCCGGCGCCGCACGTCTGGTGAGCGATGCAGGCGTTGTTGTCTTCGACACACTGTCCCGACCACATGCAGTCGTGCAGCACATCCGCGGTGTGCACTACAGACAAGTCAGACATCGGCAGACTGTCCGACGAGAAGTCCAACAGATCCGACACCAAATCGAGGCGAATGGGCGGCGACTGCGGAGGCGTCAGCACGAAGTCGTCGAAGTGATGCCATATGTCTTCGCACGGAGACAGACACGTGTCCGCCATATCCGAGATGTCACTCAATTCGGCCAAAAGGTCGCAATCAAAGCACGAGTCGACGCGAACCGGCATTTTAGGCGATGTCTTCACTACAGTATCACTGGTTATCACTTATTATAGTTAGAGTTATGCACTTGTATTCAGTTTTACTACACGACCGCTCTCTACACGCGTTGAATGCGCACTGAATGCTCGCAAATACACCAACACTGCAAACACTATACAGTCTATACACTACACACACATCGCATACTCTCTACACACAACACACTCTACTCTCTATACACCTCTCTATACAATATTATTGAGGCCTTCAATGGAGACAAAGCCTTTGGGCGGAAAAGGATGTGAGTTATGCCGGGAGTGACTGCACCGCCATCTGTGCCATCACTACTGCAAACACACTAAGTATTCGCGATTTAAATCATTTTGACTACAAATACAATGCATTTCGTGACTAAATCAGCGGTAATAGTGAAGAGAAATGCGTCCGAATATGTGGTGCTGTGAATGGTGTGAATGGATGGACACAATGGATGCGAATATGGTTTAGCTATCAATGTATGTCTCGTTAAAGTGGTCTCCATTTAAAAGGCAACCACAGGTCACGTGATGTCTCATAGAAGAGGTGCGAGTCTTGCAGAGTGTTTGTGCGGACGCATGCGCTGAGCGTTAGTTCTTTGTGCGATAGCTTTGGTCATATAATGTGCCAAATTTGGCGCTCAATTCAGGGCTACAATAGTGAGCACATGAGAGGGGAGAACACGAATGCATGCATTGAATGGTTGAGGCCTTGAGTGGTTCAGTGACTCACTTTCGCGCCACTCGTTTCACTGTTTCACTGCTTCCAACACTTTTGGCTCTATTCCAGGAAATCGATTGCGACATACAGTGAGTCGGAGTCTACAGTCACTCTACTGTACAGCGAGTGTACAGTGAGTACAGTGTGACTACAGTAAGGCCTACAGTGAGACCTAGAGTTGAGGCCCAATGAGTATGATTTGGCGCTTCACTCAAACCCTGCAAACGAGACACGCATTCAATCATAGCTTCAGACGAAGAAATGAGTAATTAGTTTGCAATGAAGTGATGAATACGTGCAGTACGTCTACATCGCATTCATTGCCATTCATTGCCTCTCTTTTCCACTTTTCTATTACTCTTTTTCTTTGTTTCCAACATTTTATAACATTTTTATCGATTCTGTAATTAATTGTTTGTTTCGTTTAGAAATCAGTGATAAAGAGAGTGAAGAAACACTTAATGGCAGTGAAAGGCAATGAAAGACTCGACGAATGCATAAACACTTGTTTTCATTACACAATCGGTGCCCAAAAGCACCCCTTAGTTCACCACATCTGCCCCTCTCTGCCCTATTCACCCAATTCACACTCTCTCTCTCCTCTGCCTCTGTGTTGGATTGAGGGCTGGAATGGCTGTATGTATGGCTGAATAGCTGTATGACTGGTCTCTGAATGTCCTAAACTTAGTTTGGTTTACAGGAAACAACTTTTGTGTTCCCAAAATTCCTATCAAAACTTTTCCCGCGTTTTTCGCAAGAATTTCAAACTTCTCGTGTATTTTAAGACTCGTTGAGAAAACGCACACATATTTGCATTTCAGACAAACACTTGCTTTACTCACAGTCTGTTCACTACTCTCACCATTCATTCATATCTAGAGTACATTACAGTTAAATATATTGAAATTTAATTAAATATTGAAATTGGGTTCGGATTTCAGTGAATATTATGTCTATTTATGTCTCACTATTGAATGCAATGAAACTATTTCTAAATGAAGCCATTTATAAGTTGTATTCATAAATTTGAATGCATATCAAATATGCCATGAAATGCAGTATAGTTTGGAAGTGAGGCTCACTATCGATAAGTTAATGTTTAATGTGAGACCAGATAATGAAATGAAACAAAAGTTAAAATAAACCATTGATTGCAATGGAGAGGCACTCCTAATAGACGTTTCATTTCATACAAATATTTGTATATAAAATGCATATACAGTTCACTATATATGATATGATAATAATGTATAATAAGTGTTAAAACACTATCTTTTCTTATCAACCAAACAGTTGTGCAATACATGAATGAGACGCGAGTTTTGGCGACACTTTTATCACTACTTTCTTTAGAAATTGAAAGCGAATTCTTATCATAAGAAACGCTTCTTTGCTATCAATTGCTATACATCGTAGACATCACTCGATATACCAATACCTGTGAAGTACTACTCTTTCAAACAAATATTGCTTTAATTAAGCAATAAATCGTCAATACTTTCAAACACTTCAAAGTTTTACAAAGTTTCGCAAAGAGAGAGAGAGAGAGAGAGAGAGAGAGAGAGAGAGAGAGAG